TAAACAGTTTGAACTTTTTGGGCCTGATTGTTGAAGAAGAGAGTACTCGTTCAAACCGAAGCACTCTTTCAATGATTCAAGAAGGCAGGGGGCAATGCTCATGGACAACCTGAGATGTGGCGCCCGAGGCATAGGCCGTAGATCAGTGGGGACAGCAACAAGCCCTAAAAACCAGGCCCTGGTAAACCCTAAACCCTAAACCCTTGTGAAACTGGTAGCAGATACCTTCTCTGAACCCCAATCAGAGATGAGTTGCCCTGCAACGAATAGATAAATGAACTGATGAAAAGATTGATCGCCCTGCGATCCGCCAGACACCCGGTGTCTCGATTATTTTCCGTCCGCACAGCCGCTGCTCAAGCAAAGCCCATTCGCCACCCCGTGGCGGTGCTAAAGCCCTGACCCTCCCTCACCCTTTGGGCCTGAAAGGTCCACGGATTGTGCATGTCCCTCGGCCGTAAGTTCCTGACAGACAGTGTTTTTCACACTGACCATTGTTTTTGGACAAGCACAATCTGCCCGCGCTTGAACTGAAGAGAATCCTGTACATGATTCGTAAAGCAACAGGCTTATCGGGATGAATCCGGCTTGTGATGTCCTTGAGAAATCCATCGAACAGCTTGCTGTCTTTGGGCCGACTTGTCAAGCGAATTGTCACTATCATACAGCTTGAATCGACTTTGAGACAACACCACTCGAAGAAGGGAAGCATCCATCGGCTTCGTCAAGCTGTCTGCCGCTTGCAGGGTCGTGGGTATCCAGCGGAAGAAAGTGTTTTCTTCACATCTTTGTTTAATTAAAAGAACCTCTAGAGTGGTACGATATTCTTCACAAGATGGCATCGCTAACCTAGTCACCAAATCATACAGAGACTTACAGTCTGTGACGACGATGGCAGGATTCAACATTTTAAAGCTTTGCTCGGGTTTCTGCCAGGCAAAACCTGAAACATGAATCACTCCCCACAAGGCGCGAAGCCATCCTAGCAAATCCACAGCTTTGGACATCGCGTAGGCTTCAGCTGAGAGAGTTGAGCGTACGACTCTAGGGATTTTCTTGGACACCCAGGCTAACGGGGACAGCGGAGCCTCAACATTTTGGTTCAAACGGGAATCGGTGGCGCATACAAGGGCTCCTTGGTGGGAGTTAAGATTTTTGGACGATGCGAAAGACGCATCCCCGAATGAAACGAAAGTAAGTTCCTCTGGCTTAATCGGAAGGAAATACGTACACACCTGATGGTATTCTTGGGCCTCTCTCAACACCTTGTTGGCCAACAGTAAAGTCTGCACCGTGGCGGTGGTAATTTGCCCCTGCACTTCCCCAAGTTTGGCGGCTACATCTGGACGAGTGTGCGTTACAGCATACTGCAGGCTTCCCACCAGGCCTCGGAGCTTGGAGCGCTCTGATTCGGTGATCAGAGCATCTGGCGTTAAGCGGCGGGGCCGGCCAATGTCAATCTGAGGGATGTTCTGCACATAAGAGCTTTGGGAAGCTCTGATGGAATGGTCAGGTAATTGCTGAAGATGAATCCCTGTGAACACAAATTCACCCGACTTTCGGCTACCGAAAGGGAGAGTCTTGGCCAGTTCCTGCAGCTTGGTATTAAAGCGGGCGTCGCCTCCTCCAACACCATCATCCACGTGCATGCCGAGAACCCCACTGAGTTGTTGCTCAGTGTACAGCATAAAGACACAAGGCTCAAGAGGATGTCTGGTGAAGCCAAGGGCCAACAGTTGCTTACAGAGTTCCTTATAGAAAAGAAGTGGGGCGTCCACTCTTCCGTAAGCATTCCCTAAAAGTTGACAAACCTCAGAGTCTTTTAGGTTCAAAGCTCGTCTGAGCTCGACTGGGGGCTCCATGGCCAAAGGATTGTTGGCATCGGCTTTGCCACGGAGAAAAGCCGTTTTGATGTCGAATGACGTAAGGGTGAACTTAGAGGAAGCCACTGATTGGAGGACAATCTCTCGACCCTCTCGGGAGAGAGTGGGAGCGTCACGCATTACCTCAACCAACTTTGGATCCTGAAACCCCAATACGACTAAACGAGCTTTGGCTTTCCTCTGGCTTTCGCCGGGCTCGGGAGACCTCCAGGTGAGGATCCATCTGCTACGAAGAATTTGCTCGGGGTTAAGACTACGCCTAAGAACCGCCTTAATGGCTGACGTTTGCAGCCAGCACTGGATCTCCTTATCTTTAGCTTGATCAAACAGCTGTCGCTCTTGGGCACTTAAATCCTTAAGATAGACCTCGGACTTAGCTCGCTTGCTGATGGTGGCCATCAGAGACATCTTCTCGCGGGGAGCTCGAAGGCACTGCTTATAGCTTTTCGCCTTCATGGGGATTTCCAGGCAAAAGGCTTGCTGCTCGGAGCACGTCAGAGGCTCCTCAACAAACGGCAACCCGTCTTCGGCAAGTGGGGGTCCGGAGTTTGGGCCTGAGGTTTCGAGATGGGTAAAGGTAAACAGGTTATCACCCTTATCATCTGGGATACCCAAATCTTCACTCGCGAGATACACTGTTTCCGTTAAGAGACCCTCATCTGACCCTGGCACCGGAACATCCACAGGATTTGAAACTGCAGTGTCAGGCAAAGCGGAGGGCACGGAAGGGGCAGCGGATTCCTGACCGAGGTCAGGTTCGCGCTCAACTTCAACGTCGCCTTCTGCGCCATCAGCAGTTTGGGACACTTGTGGAGTTAGTTCCTGTTCGGGTTGACCTAAATCATCCTCGGGAGGCCTAACACTCGGAATGCCACTAGGAACCCCTGCTTCGAAAACCTGCGTGGTTTCGCTGCTTGTTTGCACAGAAGGCGGTGGCACAGGTGCGGGCGACCCCGTGAGGTCAAGGAAAGCATTGGCTCCCCCAGCATTCTTGGTGGGTAAACCATCTTCACTGGAAGCTGCGTGCTGCCATTCCCGAAGACTTGCTGGGCGAACATTCTCGGGTGGACATCTCAAGACAGTGGTCCCGTGAGAGATCCAAACCACGGAAGATCCCTCTTGGCAGATGACTCTGCCAGGTCCATGCCACCTACCTGATGCAAGACGATTTGGCGAGGTTTTTCGAACCCAGTATAAAACCCAATCCCCGGGATGGAATGGACCTCTCATCGGATGACTCCGACGAAGCATCGCTCGACGAATGGTCTCAGAATTATCTGCTTCCCAGAATGCTTTCCTAGCCATGCATCGGAGTTCTAGGCGTTGCTTGTGAAGTTCAGCCTCTAGATCCACACCTTCGGTGATAGCATGGGACGACATGCTTTCATCAGACGTGATGCTGCCTGGAATTCTCAGCGATTTCCCTAGCACTATTTGTTCGGGAGAATAACCCTTAAACCTTACAAGTGCATTTTTCGCTTGGAGGGCTTGGACTAGAGCTTGATCAAACAATGAATCATTGGCCAATGGCATTTGGATATCCATTCGATGCAGAATGTCTTTCAAAACATCACCATGGCGCTCAAGTCTACCCCGCTGCCAGGCAGCAGCAGTCACAAAAGTCTGAATGTCGAGACCCTGGAAGTGATCTAGAATTTCTGAAGATCGAAACTCACCCGCAGGATCTAGATAGATTTTACGGGGGTTCCCAGCCCACACGAACCAAAAGTTGGTCAACGCTTCCAGGGCCTGAGCAGTATGGCGGGAAGGTGTACGTCGACCCATGTGAAAGCAACTGGCCTCATCAAGTGCATGAAGAACGTACCCTTTGTACCCAGATCTACTCTTGAAAAGAAATCCGTCTACACCCACTAAGTCATTAAACTCTCGGGGTTCAGGCAGTTTGCTTGGTCTCTGAAGTCTCGGCTCTATGGATTCTAAGCAGGAGTCGCACTGGTATTCCAAGGCACCCTGTATCAGGTTCTGAGAGGCTCCTGCAGACCGAAGATGATTGGCGAAGGTTTGCGGGGCAGGGTGACCTAAGTTATTATGGGCTCGAATCAAGGTGCTCTTTTCCTCTTTGCTTAGATTCCTAAAAGCAGGGCCATGGATGGGAACTGGTGGAGGTCCCCAAGCTTCAATGTCAGGCTTGATGCTTGAAGACGAAGGCACAGCAGGATCGCTTGCCTGAGGCTCCTGAGGGATCTGTTCAGCAGGTTGTGAATCTCCAGAGACAGCAGGTTGCGCAAACACAGTGATTAAAACACTCACTGGCTCAATCCTAAGACGCTTCCGTTCGGGCGTCATGCTCAAGCGATCCTCCTTTCCCAGGCACCAAAAGGTCTCCTTACCAGTGTGTTTATCCATTCTAGACCCAGCACTAAAACGAATAGGGGCAACGGTTTGTGGCAATGCTCCTAAGGGGCTCTGAAGATTTCGGGAACCGCGGCCAACAAAGACTTGTAAAAGCTTTACTTCGGGGATCCTGTTTTGTAGGAGCTCGATGAGATTACTTTGAGGAGACACTAATGTCGTCGTGCCACGTGTGGTGCACTGAGATGCAACCTGAAACACAGGCTTCCAAGCTTCAAACGGCAGTTCAACAGGTGCAAGGGCAGTGGCAGGCTCCACCCGCCGGGACGGTTGCCCTCTTGAATGCTCGTCAGGAGCACTCTCGGCAACACGCTTCTTTCTGTGCTGGCACACTCGACTGGGCACTTGGAGTTCCAAGGGAGGTCTTGAAGCGCTTTCGAGTCATGGGTAAATTGGCATCAAGTGCAAAGGCGGCTTCCGAAGATCGGGACACTACCTGTTTGGCAATGTGCTGCGCAAAACCTTTACAGTAAGTGCCAGCAAACTGAGTTGTCGAAAGACCCTTCAGTTCCCTGGGCTTACCAGCTAATGGAGCATGACGATGAAGGCCACTGCATTGCTTCAACGCCAAACTTCTTATCAAAGGACGACAAGTGCTCAGAACGACTGCAGCTTTCTTGATAGGCTGTTTAGTTACGGGAGTTTGAAGGCCAAAAGCACACATGTGGACGGTGATCTTCTGGGTCCCTTGGACAATGGGCTTCAGACTATCCTGGGTCAACATCTGGGAGCTGGCTGGTTGTTCTAGATGGAATTCCCTACCATGTCTTCGTTGCCACTCAAACACCTTAGCACACAACCGAAGGTGAGTCTGTTCCTGGGCACGTTGTTGCTTCAGGCGCTCACGACACGCAGGGCTTCTCGCGGCATTCAGGCGAGACCACGAGCACCAATGTCGGCATTCTGGGGCCATCCAGACATGTCTGGGTTGCTCTTGTTGAAGAATATCCCAAAGTTTCCTTTGTCCCTCTGGCGAGGTTAGATCGCCATCTGCACACGTAAATCGTCTGGCTGTTCCCCCTAGCCTATGGACCCACTGAGTTAACTGGCTATCCTCGGGTGCATGAATCTCTAGAAGATCCAGTTGCTGCTCGGTGGGAATCCCGTACTTTAGCTGGGAGTCTTGAAAGGTAGCCCAGGCAACCTCCTCGGCTCGTGCATAGGCGTCGGCGCAAGCATCATCTGCTGATGATGCTCGACTTGCGATGTTGGAGGGTTGCTGCAGCACAGATGCCTTTTGCAATTCATTTCGAAGACAGCCTACGGGACCCTCAGGGGTGCTGGCAAGTTGCGCGGAAGCCGGGGTTTTAGCCTGGGGAAATCCGTGAAGCTGCAACCATTCAGCATCGGAAGCTGATAGCTCTTCTGAAGTCTTCAGTGAGAAACCAATCAGGATTACTCGGTCCCCTTGCCACGGCATCGTGGCATGCCATGTATGTGGGCATACATACGTAGGGCACTTTAGACTCTGTAGGGATCCCTGAACAGATTTCTTGCCACATTCCAAAATTAGTTCCTTCTGACGACCCTGGGCTTTCTTGGCAGACCACACTTCGCCTCCTTCTACGGGATAGCTTAAGGGGACGATGAGATTCGTAGTCCCAGGCACATTGTGAACATCACGATGGGGAGGGGCTTGAGTGTTGCATGAGACTCCTATGCTGGTGAACGGATGATTAGGATCAGTCTCACGAAGTGTTCTTGTAAGGACTTTGGTCAACCACGGGTAGGCTTTTGAAACACGTGTAACACCCTTTACACCCCCATGACGGAATGACCCGAACATCAAATATGCTGGCTCTTGCTTAAAGGGTGCTTCAGTGAGGTCTGCTGGGACATCTGCGGATTGGGGCGTGGCCTTGGCAAGCGAATGCCACGGCGCTGTGCGCAGGAAGCTCTTTAACGCCTTCACGGAGACTTGCTGATGAAGGATTTCTCGGGCCTTAGATTCTATGGCTTCGGGAGAAAAGGTTGGGGCGAGGTCAGTCACATCACGGGTGGTCTGCAGAGCTTCCTGCAGCTCCCTGCGGCACTGAAGAAACTCACTCACGAGTGTTTCTGAGGCACATGGAGCTCCTGGATTGCTCCCAGCACCTGTTGCATGATCTGCTCCATTTGCCCCATGCGCCCATTCAGCGCTTGGACCTGTTGATCCACGTGGCCAGCGAGGGCACTCACCTGATCCTCCACGGCGGAACCTTCCGCTTCGATCACGTCCCAGGGCTCGTCCACGGATGAGGCCTTGCCCTTCCCGCCTGTCTTGGCCTTGGGAGTGACCTCGCTTGTCTTGGTCACTTTCGGCAGATCGCGGGGACAGCTGGCTTGCAGCTCGGTCTCGATCTTCTCGGCCTGTTCCACATACTTGCGGATGTAGATGAGGAGGGCGCGGTGCTTCTGCTTCGGTGAGTCCTTGAGGTGATCGCAGCACCACTTTCCCCATTCTGGGGAAGCCTCCAGAGCCTCGGCAAAAGTCTTGCCGACAAACTTTCGACCGAAATCGATCTGAAAGGCTCCGAGTTCGTTCACATCCATGGCCTCCAGCTGTGGAATGGTGTAGGACAGTGTGGGGTCCTGCAACCGGGCCAGCCGTGTGCCGAGATCCAGTGTGGAGGAATCGGCGGGGCTGGAGCTCTGGGCCATGCTGCTTAGGATCAACGGAGGATCGGGTGCGGGGATCAACGTCGGTAGTCACCGGGCTTGAGGGCAATTCGGCTACTGACGGAATACCGGTATCGGCGCACGCAGTGCAGCTGTGCGACACAGAATCCATGAGAGGACTCTGTTCTGCGTCATTATCGCTGGCAGTTAGCTTTAGCTCACTACCACTACTCGAATTAAGGCTGAGAGGTCTAGGGAAACCACCATCATCTATACACCCACTAGTGGTACACCCCTCTTTCTCAGGTCCTAGGGCATGCGCTTCGGGAGGTTGTGATGCGACAGCCGACAAGGAATCTTCACTGGCATTCTGGCACTCTGCAGTTCGGCTGTTCTCTTCACACAACTCGGTCAGGTCTAGCATGTAGAGTCCGGTTGGACCGGTGCGCAGGCGACGGCTCACGTTCAACCGCTTCAGGTGAATCCTATCTTGAACCGTATCTATGACCCCACCTAGCTGCTTAATAGCCCGTTTACTAAACAGCAGAGGCGTCCGTCCTGGCACGATCTCGATGCTCAGCCACAAAACGTGAGACAAGCCTGCTCTGATCGGCAACAGTGTGCGCTTTTCACTTTCTAGTGTTTGGTTGTTACCGAAACGGAATCTCACCGAACTTCTAGCAACCCGGACTAGTTGGCGAACAGGCTGACTCAACTGGCTCAAAAAGGTGCTTAACAGTTGCTTGCCCATGACACACCTGCTGGCTCCGGTATCAACTATAGCTTCGATGGTTTCCTCATGCGCGTAAGCTACTTCGGGAATCTTGGGGAGGTACCAGGAGCCTAGTCTACGGTGTTCCAGGCGGGAGCTGTCCACGCTAAGCGGCTTCCTTCCTGCTGGCGGCTCAGTCAAGGCTGCTTCCCCACAAGTGGTGGGCCTGCGGGAGGACTCTTGTTTGGCGAGGCGCTTCTTTAGGTTTATGGGGATTTGTGAAAGACGATCCCGGATGTTCTGGCTTGGAGTCCTAAGTTTGGGAGGTTCTTCAGCGAAAAGGGCCTCCTCCAAGGAAAGCGCTTCCTCGGGAAGCGTCGTCAGCACTTCCGGGGCGGGCGAGTCGGCTGCCTCGGAGATCGACGCATCTTCCAGGACCTCAGCCATCGTCGTGGTGGCCTCAGTCTTGGGACCTGCACTGGTTTTGCGAGGGCACTCGGCTTTCCAGTGTCCCCTTTCGCCGCACAGGCGACAGTGGCTTTTGGCAATACGAGCAAGGAGCTGCTCCTTGGCCCCCTTGGACTTGCCTTTACCACCACCCTTGTTGCCCTTGCTTCCCTTGAAACCCTTCTGAGAACTCCCAATGGGCCAAAATCCCCTTGAGCGCTTCTTAGCTTGCAAACGGTTCCTCGCCTCAAGATACGAAACAAGCGCATCTTGCAAGTCTGGCACATCTTGAAAAAACGTCTCAAGTTCATCTTCAAACACTTGGATCTGGGTGGCGTCTGGGTCATCAGCCGCCACAAGAGCATCAATGTACTCCTGATCGAGCTCTCCATCGATCTCCTCAGCCGGGCCTGGCGCGTTGGCATGATAAGCTCGCTCGAAGTCCTCCAAGGGAGGTTCCTCGACCAAGTTGGCATCGTAGACCTTGGTCCGGGCTGTCCTTTGCCCCTGAAGGTCGGAAAAGAACCGGGATCCCAGGAGCCTGATGGCACTGCACACCTTCTCATACTTCAATGTGCCACCCATCTCCACAACGATCTTCTTCCGGTCCTCTGAAGACACCTGGGACTGCCTAAGCAGGATGTATGCCCTGACCTCCTCCAACGCGGTTCCCTGCAGGAGGAGCTCCTCAAAATGAACATCATGCCTTGCCAGGTAGCTGTCGTTGCTCTCATCGCTCTTCTGAAGAGTTCCGTAGATAGCCTTCTCAAAACAATCATACTTCTCCTCCAAGGCTGTCTTACCCCAGGACCCTCCCAGCGTAGACACCAAAAGGCGAACCCCTGAGTCATCGGAAGACTTGAGTTTCTCGGCATCGATCTTCGCAACCTTCTTGAACGCTGTGCCCTCTGTAAGGAGGGCCGCACGTGGGGCCAAAAGAGCCAAATGCTCCTTCGGCCACATGGCCGCCAGAAACTTCAATTTTCCACTGTACTCAGTAACATCCGTTGTCCCACAAATGAAGCGCGGTATGGCCTGCCAGGGCAGCTGGATGGAGCTCGAGCTCTCGGCTCCACCTCCTGACATGGCACCTTGCTCTGTTGTGGACGTAGCCGAAGGCATCCCTCAATCCACTCAGCGCAGCTCCAAAAAAAGGCTTTCTGGATCGGTCCGCTTTTTCGCCGGTCAGCGAAGCTCCTGGCTCCGCTACCAGTGTGAAACTGGTAGCAGATACCTTCTCTGAACTCCAATCAGAGATGAGTTGCCCTGCAACGAATGAATAGATAAATGAACTGATGAAAAGATTGATCGCCCTGCGATCCGCCAGACACCCGGTGTCTCGATTATTTTCCGTCCGCACAGCCGCTGCTCAAGCAAAGCCCATTCGCCACCCCGTGGCGGTGCTAAAGCCCTGACCCTCCCTCACCCTTTGGGCCTGAAAGGTCCACGGATTGTGCATGTCCCTCGGCCGTAAGTTCCTGACAGACAGTGTTTTTCACAACCCTAAACCCTAACCCGGTGCCCTGGACCCGTATGACCCGATTCAGCAAGCGAAGTCCGAAGGTTCAGAGAGTCGAAAAGACAGGATCCATGTGAATCGTGCCCTGTTGCAGAAAACCCGCATGGCCCAGGGTCTATCTAGGTCGCCAGTAGCAGCCTTATGCTTCTTTGGTTTATTTTTGGGGTCTCCTTGTTGCCCCATTGAGGCTGAACCACTTAGAAGGTGCTAAACCAAACACCTCCTGTTGGGCCGAAAACCCGCCTAAAGCCCTGAGCCCTAATTCCATCGAATTCCTAAACTTGGTTGCTTTCGGCCTACAGTGGTTTGGGGCAGGGTTGTAAAGGGCTCTAAGGAAGAATCCCCCCAAAAGTAGAGGTGTTGGAATAATTAGTTTAAACATAAGTGCTTACTTATTCGATGTTCAGTATGATCTCCCGCAAAACCCACGCCCTAAACCCTAACCCACCAGAGCCTCCTTTTTTGGTAGGGTCCCTTAAAAATCCCATATTAAGGATTTTTGGAACCCACAAAAACGTGGGTTTTGGTAGGTGAAGGTACCCGAGATCCCCATCAACCTCCGAAGTATTGCAGGGGTCCGTACGCGCGAGAGCCATCTCTGCGCTGTCCGCCGTGTCCGCACGGGGCCCCGGTCTCATCATGTTTGCAGGTCTAGGGACCAGGGCATAGGATAGGTTTTACTATGGGGGAACCTCTATGAACATTTCCGAACTGCGGGGCCTAGGTTTTTAGAGTTTATATATAGGGTTCGGGTCTTGAAAAGGGGAGGCCGCAGACCGCAGAAATGGATTTGCATTGCGTGGGCGACCTTGCGGCGTTGAAGGTGAGGAGGTTCAAATTGTAGGGGTCCTCACCCTACTGTCGTCACGCTGGTATCTTTAGCACGTTGTTGTGGGATTTCTTAAGGTTCAAGGCTCGGGTTTTAGGGTTTAGGGGGTAGGGTCGAAACCCAAAGCTTACGCCTGTTTACCCTGCACTCTACTCCCCACTTAACTCCCGGAACCCTTAAAGGAGACTTCATAAACTTGTCATAAAACCCTTTCTTCTCATCCTTACTCCGCAAAAACAACAAAACCTCAAATCTGTACCAGGGGCCTGACGACGACGAAGTCCTCGTCCAGGCGCGTCGCCCCCCCCCCCC